CCAACTCTTTCTGGGTAAATGCCAATTTCTCAACTCCATCTACTCTCGAGCAATGGAGCTATACATTTGGGATACCTTTACCCAAGACTTCCTTGCAACACATGTCTGATTAACCAAGTGTTTATTTTTAACCACCAACTCATGTTTGCAATACATCGACACATCCTTGGACTTTCTTGGTGTGACAACGTGACCATGATGTTCCAATTTCAGCCTTCCAACCACCCAATTCCCTTCCTCGTTAACACTAGCATACAACTTTACACCACATCTGCACGTTTTTGTTTTCCTTTTAGCAACTGTCTTCTCATCTTGCTCTAATCCTTCCCTGAGAGGATCAACTTTACGCTTCCTAGATGGTTGTCCATAGCACTCACAAGTCCACGTCACATTCCTCCTTTGTTTACAACACTTTCCATCTCCCAATTCTTTCTTCACCTTTATCAACCCAAACGCAGCCCGAACGATACCAAATCCCCTCTGCCTACCATACCTCCAGCAATAACTATCAACATCATCCCAACTGTCAAAATCCATCCCCACAGCAGGGGATGGTACTTCCTCTTCCTCACCAAAAACAGTGCTCACAATAACCCTCTTCCTCGGGGTCGTCGTAACCCTAGACCCCCCCCCCCCACCTCTACATCCCTAACAACATCATCTTCTGCTACTTCTTGTACATCCTCACCATCTGACCCATATCCTCCCTCTTCTTCTGACCCCTCTTCTTCTGATCCCTCCTCTTCTTCCCATTCTGCATTTTCATTCACATCCTCTCATATACCTGCTTCCTTATACACATATATATCATCCTCACCATCATTTACATTATCATCCATCAGACCATCCTACCACTAGTAGAAAAAAGAAAATGGGAAGCGATTAAAACCCCTAATAGGAAGCGGATTTAAACCGCTTGGGCTTGGGGGACATCCCATTGCCCCTTTAAATGGGAAGCGGTTCAACGCCAAAACCGCTCCCCATTATGCCTACAAATAATTTTATTTTATTTTATTTTATTTTATTTTTTGCTTTTTTCACTTAAATTAAACACAAACACCAAACGTATGTATACACAAAGATATTTTTATTAATAAATTGTTGTAATATTACATTTTTTATCCAAAAATAAATAAATTAATATTACAATTGCTAATTAATTTACTGGAAAGCCCACTGGTTCTCGATCATATCAACAACACATTAACAACTTCAATCCAGCAAAATCTTGATATCCATGTAATTATTTGCAACCTGCATTCACACACATAATTAATTTAGTTATACTTGATAAATCAATCATAAAAATGTATATAAAAAATAAAAATAGGAACACATTCACTAAAATGCACATAATTAGCAGTAAAACTTGATCCAACCACCTCCTATCCACCACTACGCTACCCCCGCCCATAGCCAGATCAAACCACCACCCACCCACCAACCTTGTCGAGCCTTAGACAAACCGAACCCACAATCACCCACCACCCTAATCGACCCACTAACCGAACCCACACCCACAATCTACTACACTTACCACAAATTCGAAAATAAGAACAACCCAATTCGATCTACTACACCAGGAAACCCAAAAAAAATAAAAAACAAAAAAAAGGATAAAAAAAAAGATAAAAAAATCTAGATCTACTACACTTACCACAACAATTCAATTAAACAACCCATTTTTTTTATAAAAAAAACCAACAAAATTAGAAGAAAAAAATTTTAAAACAAGAACATACCTACAATTCCACCACATTCCACCAAATTTAGCCTCGAATTTGGTTATATAAGGCCAAATTCGACCACTAAAACTCTAGATCTAGAGTTTTAATGGTCGAACTTGACCTTAAAACCATTAATTACATAAAACAAAAGAAAACGCCGATAACGTAGCAGGAGAAGAAGTAACAGAAGAAGTAAAATATGCGAGAGAGAAGAAAGAGAAAAAGCGCTGGGAGAATAATAGAGATGAAGAGAGAGAGAGAGTGGCGAGAGGAAAAAGAAAGGGGAAATATCTGGTGAAAGGGAAATGAAGGAGAGGAGAGAGGTGTAAGGGGTATTATAATTGCTAGGGTATTTTTTAAAAAAAAAAATGGGAAGCGGATCAGTGTTCAAACCGCTTCCCATTACATATTTTGGAAGCGGTTCATCCCAAAACCGCTCCCCATTTGCTTATTTCAATTTATTTATTTTTTGGTGGGTTATTGGAAGCGGAATTCAATAACCACTTCCCATTTAGGGCAGCCTAATTGCTTTTTTCTTCTAGTGTACACAGAATATACAATCATTTATAACAAAGCAAGTACAATCCATTAATACCATCAACTAACAAGTTCATTATAAAATCAACCCAATACAAAAAACAGCAACAAATTACATCATACAACAGAATCAACATTATAACAAACTCATAGCAACATTGTACCACAATTCCAACAAAGTCATAGCAAGATTATACAATTACATCATACCAACAAAGTCATAGCAACTAATTACATCATAGCAACTAATTTCAGAACCCCACCAAAAAATTTCAACATCAAACAAGGTCACCAAATACCAACATTGAATGATTCAACTCACTTCAAAATCCCCAAATTAAGTTCATTTAACCCCAAAATCTACAAAATTAAACAACAATTCTTTCAAATTTTCGACAAACCTAGGCCAAACCAACTACTTAATCATCAACATGACACTAACCATCCCTAAACAACTAAATCACTCTTTTCCATTACCAAAATTAACACCAATTTAAAATGTAAACCCTAAAAATTAAATTCAAATCAAACTTCAAACTGAATAATTACAGTAATGCATGTACGAATCTTACATTTTCACAATCGAATTGTAGCTCCGTAGCGCAGCCATGACTGTCTTCTCCACCGTCACCTAGTGCTTCAGCTAAATCCACGCCAAGAATGTCAGCTAACCTTGTTCTCATCCTCAATTTGCAATGTCAAATTTACGAAATTTGAGTGGTTTTAGTGCACCTAGAAAGGATTTCAATGCCTTTAATTTTATTTCTCTTCATTCGCCATTAAATAGTACATCTTTGCTTAGTACTTAGGATGAAAGAGGAATGAAATAGGAAAGTAGCTTTCTCATTAACAATTTGTTTTCCCGCTTAGATTTTGGTTTCCCCGTTTTCACTTTCTTTGCCCCGTTATTTCTTTCTACCAGCTGGCACCTTGTCCCCACCACAACTTCAACCTTATTACAACAATGCCATCCTATATGCATTGTTTGTAAATAGATCCTATGTGACGGGACTCCTCCTTTGCAAAGTTGCAACTCACAAGGTCCCAAGTTAAGGGGTATAATAGTAAATTTATCCCCAAAATTTGCACAAGTGTATATGAGAATGCCCATGAATTCTAGGTATCTGCAATTAGAATGGAATCATAGTTATCTTAGAGGTGTTCATTGGGCGGGCCGGGCCAAGGCCTAAAACTTTTGCCCATTTCTCGGGCCAGGTCGGGCCAAACTTCGTGCCCAAAATGGCTTGGCCGTGCGGGCTTTTTGGGTCATTTTTGGGCCGAGCCAAAAAATTTAACTAAATTCGCATAAAAATGCTTTCCCAAACCCATCCAAACTTTTTAAAAAATCGGGCTGGCCCGGCCCCTACCCGATTTCTAATCGTTGAACCCTACACTCTAGTGTAGGTAAGGGTACCTACACCCCCCATCTAAATGACGCGTTTAGATTGAAATAACCCCCACATCCCACTAACTGCAGTAAATTGAAATAATCGCCCCTACCCCACATATATATGCATAAAAAAATATAAATAAAAAAAACTCTTCATTTTCAATCATTTTCTCTCTCCAAAACCTTCTTCTTCATTTCTCTAGACTTTCTCTCTCATCAAAACCAAAAAATATGAACCAAAATTGCTTCAAAATACTCCAAAATTGCTTCAAAATACTGCAAAATTGCTTCAAAATAGTAAAAATGTCTGACATTCACGAAGAAATTCAACAATCGAAACAACATTCTAAGAAATAGTAAGTAAATTGTTCATTTTAGAGCAATTTTTTGTATAAACGCTAGTTTTTCTATTTTATTTTGAAATTACATGTTCATAAACATAATCTAACTTGATTATAACTATTTTATGCAAAAATGATTAAAATCTACTATGTAATGTGTTGATGTAGAACCAAAAAAGATGTTTCGGAGAAGAGTAACATAGAGAAGGATACTTCAGAGAAGAGTCCCGTGGAACACAACAAGGTAGATTCTGAAGAAACATAAGAATTATTTCAACTCAATATAAAATTATCATTTGAATAAGGTTTTAGTTCAAAGACATTAACAATTTGTTAAAAAACAGAGACGATAATCAGGAACCTATTCAAATAAGAGTAGAAAAACTAAAAAAAGCCGCGAAAAAAAGTCTCAAGTTGTAGATCCATAACTTTTAAAAGATATTAAAAAGTCTTATGGTACAAATGCTAATATTTCTACAATTTCGAGGCAATATATGTTCATTTAATGAATTATAAATGTTCATTTGTTTATTTGAGTATATATTTAACCTTATATGCCAAAATAAAATAAAAAATCATATATGATATTCATAATGTTCATTTATAGATATAGTTATGTTCATTTTTAAATATGTTCATATTTGTTCGTTTGAGTATACATATAGGTTTATATAAAAAATGTACATTTCTTTGAAACATCATGCACACATATCAATAATGATAATAATCATTTCAATTGTATGCATTCAAACTAGTATCCTATAATTAATCTATATTGTATGCAATTTAGAGATGCAAAATCAGAACCATTAATTCTAAAGAAGGTTATAGGAAATAATGAATTGGGTTGTAGTTATCAAAGATTCACTCTGAACCACAAGTAAGTTTATATGTATGAACATAATTATTTTTATATACAATCATTATGTATTCTGTATATATATGAATCTTATTGGGTAATTCTTAAATTTTTTGTGAAAAAAAAAGGTTTGAGTTAAATTTGTAATGTCAAAATCAAGATTAGAGACAAATCAACACATAAGGTATAAAAACTTTATTCTAAATACTTTAGTTTATTATTAAATTAATAAATTCATATGTGAATATAATATGATAAAACTAATTATGATGTTTTTAGTGAACTAAGTGAGGATGTACCTACTACTCATACTACTAGTATTCTTGGGATTCAACCTGAAACAGTGAACTCAAAGTATGTTCAATAATATTTTATAGAATGTTTATTCTAAATATATTTTTTATTATTTGATAGTCCTCATTTTAATTAATAAATATTAAATAATATTTAGTAAGGACAAAGAGGATTCAAATACCTCTAAGGAGGACAACAAGAATGCTAATGATGATCAACAAGGAATTCAAAGGTATTCTAAATAATATTTCATAGTGTTTTTTACACGATAAATGTTCATTTTAATTAGCATAAATGTTTATTTTCAAATTTTATTTATTTTTTCTCCCAATGAAGAAACAAGGGTGATACTTCCAAAACAGTTGATGAGGATAAAGAGGATGAAATTAATTATAAAGAGGACAAAGAGGATGAAACTAACTCTAAAGAAGACAAAAAAATGTTGATGATGATAAACAAGGAAATCAAAGGTATAGTCAATATTATTTCATGAATTTTTTATATTTACATGAAAAATGTTCCTTTTTGTTTGACTAAATGTTCATATTTGTTAGCATAAATGTGCATTTTTATTTTTTTCTCTCAGAGAAGAAATCAAGGATGATAATTCCAAAAAAAATTTATCAGAAACAACCTCTAACTATTATACAATATCTTTATTCATACAATATCTTTAATTTAGTTCTATAATTATTTTGATGCTAATTGTATTAATTAATATTAATTTTAGCAAGTTGAAAGATATTCAATCAAATGTGCTAGAAAATCCAAAGTATGTTCATTTACATTGACTAAAATGTTCCTTTAATAAATGAATTATTTTCTAATTATAAAATTGAATCATTAATTTCTTCATAATTAATTTTCAAGATGTTCAAGAAATCTACTCTAAATAATTTAGAAAAATTAAGTAAGAGTATGAAAGAAATAATTATCACACATAAAGGTAATATAACGAGCATTCTTTCAAAAAGTATTATATATGTACAATTATTGTATTAACTTTGAAATTTAATAAATAATGACTAATTCAATTAAATATGATGATATACATAGCAAGATCTAAAAATAATGTTGAAAAAGAGGTGATAGAAAGAACAAAGACAACTGAATCTTAGGAAGGTAAAATGTTCATATTCTTAAAGCTTAATGAATATTTATGATTGAATTTTTATGAATGAATCATTATTGACTTAGATTAATAAATTTGACCGATTAAATTTAATATGTTCATTTACGTAGAAGGAGAAAAGGAAAATGTTCAAGAAGAGATGCCAAAGACTACAGAGATGAAAGAGACTATTGGAAATGAGAAGGGTAATATTCATTATTTACAATGTTCATATATGTTGTATATAATAAACATGTGTTATTGTATTTACATAAATATACATTTAATGTTTTATCATTGATCATTTAATACAGCTGATAAGAAAGATGCAGCAGAGATATTACATAAATGTGTACATATTGAGGATGAAACTTATCTAATAGAGCAAGAAAAGGATACGACTGGTCTATTGACAAAAATGAGTTAAGAGCCAGCTGCCTCATCTCAAAAGAGTGAAGAATCAGCCCAAAGAAGAACAAGATTCAAAACGGTTGCAAGAAAAAACAAAAAGACAACCCATTTAGTGGAAGAAAAGTCAAGTAAGAGAGTTACAAGAAGCCAAGATAAAGGGAATACTTTTGTATTTACTTTTTATATAGGGCATTTATAAGTGTACTAATGTAAAATTTAAATACACATTCTATGTTGTTAGAAGAATCTGCTGAAAGAGATCAGAAAGAGGCAAATGCTCCACTTGCTGAAGAATCTACTGAAGCATCACAAACAATACTTGCAAAAAAAAGATCAGGAATAGAGAACTTCTCCTAAGACTTCTCATATTCAAAAGAAAGCAGGTGCACCTGCTGAAAAAATTGCAACACCAACTCCAATTAAAAAAATGGCAGGTGCTCCTGATGAAAAAAGTTGCAACACCTACTCCAACCAAAAAAAAATGGCAGGTGCTCCTGCTAAAAAAGTTGAAAAAGCTCAAGAAAAAAAAGTTCAGATAGAGTATTACACCTATTCAAAAAAGCCAGGTGCTCCTGCTAAAAAGTTGTATCAAAAACAACAAAAGTAGAAGAAAAAACTAAAATAGGTAAATGTTCAATATAGAGTTTGTTATTTATTATAAAATTTAAAATTTGTAACTTAATATATTTATCATTTATGTAGGTGGAAAAAAGATACCTGCTCCTACCACACCAGGAGAACAGAAGAAAATTGCTAAGAAAGCAAGTATAAACATGTTTTTTTATAAATGTTCAAGTTTAATATATATAATGATCATATATATTAACATATTTGTTCATTTTATGGTTATAAAGATATTGTCAATAAACATTATCTATATAGATGTTCATTTTCAATACATAGAATGATCACATATAATGACTTTTATATTATGTTCATTTCATTATACTGAAACAGTTATGAGCCCTCCCAAAAAGAATGTTGGCAAAAGGAAAAAAAATACAAGAAGTACCATCTGATGAACCATCCGAGGAGTCTTCTTCTACTGAAAGTGATGAAGATAGTGATGATTCAACTTACAAGGCTGAAAAAGAGCAAGTCAGTGAGGAAGATGTAGAATTGGAGAAGGAAGAAACAGAGCCAAAGAAGAAAAAAGTCAAGAAAGAGAAGGGGGAGCAGAAGTTGGTACTGTACCAACCAGAGAAAAGCCAGATTAAAGGGGGAAGAAAACTGAAAAACAACTAGTTGAAGTAGAGGAAGTTGAGGAAATTGATGAAGAGAAAATTGAAGAAGATAAGGCTACAAAAAGAGAACATGTCAAGTTCATGGCTTGGATTAAGAAAATGACAGATACCCAAAAGAGTGAAGTACATGATATTGGGTTGGGGCCACTTCTTGACATCCAATTACCGCTATTAGATCAACGGTTCTGTAATTGGGTATTGGATAGTTTCGAAGAGATTAGTCAGGTTTTTGAATTACCCAAAAATGAAAAAATTGATGTTGAGGTAGAGGATGTTAGGATAGTTTATGGACTGCCTATGGGAGAAATTCCCATAATTGAGGCCAAGTCTGAAAAAACGTAACAAGTGAGGAGTTTGCAGAATTTATGAGAAAATGGAAAAGTTCATGGGGAGGAAAAATTCCATTTGTGAGTCAGGTATAATCATGACTTATATTAATGTTCATATCCAATACATTAAATGATCATATGTTATAACATTTTTTTTCATTATTTTGTTCAGATTGTGACAAGATACATACATGACAATTTCAAGAACAAAAGACCACCAAGTGAGCATTTCATAACCAACTTTTTGGTTGTTACTGTAAATTCCATGATGAAATGCATTCAAAACAATCAATGCCATTTCAAGTTTCATTATTCAATGACGGATAAAGAAAAAAATAAGAAACTTGAATTGGTGTCAGTATGTATATGACTCACTTAACAAGAACCATGTTGATTGGAGAAAGCAGCAAAGCAAGGGATTTTACAAAGGCCCTTTGCAATTTCTGATGGTAAGTTAATTATAAACATTCATATATATACATTTCTGTAAATGTTCAATTGTAATATGATAAATGTTCAGTTCTATAATGAATAATGTTCATTTCTTTGAATGTAAAATTTTTAATTCTAATGTTAAAAATGGTCATATCTATTATGATTAATGTTCATTTATATTATGATTAATATTCATTTTCTTTTTTCTCTTTAGTTGTTCTATTTTGATAGGGTATAAAGATTAGATAAAAGGCCACTGAGAACCATCCCTATTATTTCAGCATGGAAAAGAAACATGGCTCTTGAAAGGTTAAAGACTGAATCAGAGTTGGGGTTTGGTAGAGGCAAAATCTTACCAAGAATTACTGAAAAATCTTAACCAAGTCCCCAGTTTGTAGAATGTTCAATTTCGTAAACATAAATGATCATTTTGGTAATATTATATGTATCGTGGAAAATCTAATATTTTATTTATAATACAGATTTTTATGGATGATTTTGTTACCCTGGTGAATCAAACTGGGGCATGCCTATCAAAACTTTCAACTAAACTAGTGAAGGCAAAAAAATGATTTAGTGAAGAAAGTTGATGAAGTTTTGGGAAAGATTGCTAGGGAACAATCGATTCTAAGCCAAGATGAAGAGATCTATGGCTCTGATAATTTCTTGAATGCGATTGCTGAAGCTAAGAAGGAACTGCTGAAAGCAAGTGAGAAGCAAAAACAGAAAAAAAAAAAAAGGGGAAGGAGAAAGAGTAGGAATATGATATAAGAAAAGCATTTAGCTTAAATTAACACCCCCATCACCAGCCATTGGTAAGTGATACAAGATATATATTTAAATTCATCATTGAAATCCACTTGTTATAAATTGTCATAATTTGTTATTTTTTAAAAACAGGTCGGAACAGGGCCAACTTCTTCAACAATAGGTGTTATAATTTCATCAAAGGAGGTTCAAAGTAAGTAACTAGATTATGTGTAATTGATAATATGTTCATGCATATTACATAATACTAATTTAAAAACTAATCAAATAATGAAAAAATGTTGGAGCTACAAGTTTAGAAGCACCACCACAAGAAGATATTCAGGGAATTTCAAAAAATGGTAAATTGTTCACTTATATAGAATATAATGTACATAACTGAAGAATAAATGTTCATTTCTAATAGTTATGTATAAATACAAGTACAAGTTCAACAACAGCACAGGAACATATTGAAGGAATTCCTAGTAGAGGTAAAATGTTCAATTATAAAGAATAACATGTTCATTTATGAATAAGTAATGTTCTTTTCTAATTATACGTAAATAATCAGAAAAAGTTGTGGGCACAAGTTCAGCAGCAACATAAGAAAATGTGGAAGGATTACCTAGCAGTGGTAAAATGTTCAATTATAAAGACTAAAATGTTCACTTCTGAACAAATAATGTTCATTTCTAATTATAACATTTCTTATTTGCAGCATCTGGTGCTGAAATTGGTGCAAAGAGTGATGATACCAAAACACAAGCTGAAGAAGAAACTGCAAACAAGAAAACTGCTGATGAAATTTCGGAATAAGATAAGATTGATAAATCAAAAAAGAATGGAGGAAGAAAGGAGTAAGAAACAAACTTGAAGATTTATCTAGAATGGAACAATTTAAATAGATATTAGTATTAAATAATTGGACATTTAAAGTTATATAATTAGTAAGGATAATTTATCTAGAATGGAACAATTTAAGTTGTGTAACTTTTGTATATATTTTAACTTGAAACTGGTGTTTCAAAAACTATTGTATGTACATGTATAATATTTTATGGTTTAAGTAATATGTATGTGTTTCATTTTCTAAATTGAAAATGCACATAAAATATTGTATGACTTATCCTTTTAGTTATGTACTAACATAGTTTGACCTTTTAGTGACCCCAAGACGAAGCATATATCATCCTCAAAAGTCACCAAAAGGTACATATATATTAAACTAATGAATTGAAAAGTATAAATGAACATTTTCAGCAAACTAAATGTTCATTTGTATTATTTAATATGTTCAGGAATAATGAGAAGAAGCTCATTGAGGACCAAAACTAGAAGAGCAAACAAACTGGAAAGAAAATAGATGAGAGGTATAAATTAACATTTTTTTATTTCCTATTTGTATTTAATGTTTATTTGTATATACGAATATGATCATATTTAATTTATTATATGTTCAGTTCATCAATGAGGCCACAACGTCAATCCCAAACACTTCCTCTTGCTTTTAAATCACCATACATGGTCAAATACAAAGATCTTTTTAAAGATGAGAAAACAATGAATCAACTTGTCTGTGACTTTGTTTATAGTGGAGAAGATGAAAGGTAATTTGCTCATATTCAAATGTATTTATGTTTATTAAGTTTCATGAAGAATTGCTCAGTTATACATTGCTTAATGTTCATGTGCAGTTTACTTCTATATCATGATAGACTCAATCTCATAAATAGAGCAGAAATGAAAACACTTGGTGATGATGTACAAGTGATGAATTATGCTATAGATTCTCGGGCAACAATTATAAATCATAAAGAGCGAAAAAACAAGATATATTTCACAACAATGCCACACGTAAGTTCACATTATTTAATTTTGATTTAACTTCAAAAGATTCATTAATTAATATTCATGTACAAAATGCAGCAAATCATGTGTACAGATCGAGTTTGTAGAAAAATATCAACTATGGAAAAAAGATTTGAACAATTCATAGAAAGAATAGAAAGTGAGTTGTAGACTTACAAAATCAAAAGCATTTTTAGATACAAACATGTAACAATAAGTACTTTTAGTATTATTTGTTCAATTATAATGACTCAAATGTTCATTAACAATTTATTATTTGTTCAAATACTTTTTCAAGTAGCAACTTCCCAACATTTTTTCGTCTTGTGCACCAATCATATGACGGATACAATCCATATCATCGACAATAGAAAGCTACCACAACATGTATCAGTCCCTCAAAAGTATCTCGACCAACCACAAATGATTGTAAGTTAAAATTTTACAACAATTACTTACTTTTCAATTTAAAAAATTTAGATAAAACATGTTATTAAATGTGAGCATTTTATATGTATATCAATTAAAAAGGATTGGTTGCATACATGAAACAGATTGGGCATGAAGATACAAGTTCTATTGAAAACTATGAAATTGTTTTGGAAAAAAAGAAGTGGCGTAGCAATGTAGATCACACAAACTGTGGAGTCTACATAATGAAACATATGGAAACTTTCACTGCTGATCCTAATGAACAACGGTTTGTGACTTGAAAGCAAACATGTAAGTGTAGTAAATGTTCAATAATGTA